AATTTATAATGGGAGTCAATGGAGCCTTGTATTGGTCCAATACTGCCCCTGCTGTATCTACTCAGTACTGCACCATGGTTTAATAATATTTAATCGCAATAGTTCAGTGTTTACAATACTAATATGATTGTATTTTGATATTTTACTATAATATTGTCCTAATATTGCTTTTTTGTTGTAATATTTTTTTAATTTAGTGACAACCATTACATTGGCAATGTGACCACTTTCTGCACTCATACAAACCAAACCCTGGCCTCATTCTCTACCACAGCTCCAATGGTCTAATGTTTCATGCCATGGGCTTTCATGTAGGAGAGCAGGGTTCGAAACCCAGCAACAGCAACTTTAACAGAAAATCTCTACAAACTTCGTATTGTCACACACTTACCCTGATTACAAACACCTGCTGACTTGACAAGCACAAGCTGGTATAGAAAACACATTTGAACTTGGTCACATTTCATTCTGCAAGTCCACTGCTGCAGGCAAAGACATGCTACAAGGCAATGCACACTTGTTTTTACATAGTAAAAACCCATGTCTAGTTTTAACTGACTTCTGTCAGTGAAAGAGTACTTGCTTATTTCTTTGCTAAATTAACTTTTAGATCCTTTCAGGCTGTTGCACTTTAAACTATTGCACATGTAGAGTTTTACTTTTAGCTCGTGGTTTGTAAATGTGATGTTTTAGACTCTTACTTTATATTAGATTTAATCTACACTGTCTTACTTGTGAAATCCTTTAACTCAGGGTTTACAACCTTTCTAACAAAAAGAACCATTTTTATCATCTCTCCAATTAAATTGTGTAATGAGCCACAAAAATTATTTGACCCCTAAAAGTAAAATGAAATTTTACAAAGTTGTACTACAGTATTTTAATAACATAGCAATTGTTTTAAAATATACTCATTTTTTTGCATTTTGGTGCTTAGATTTTATTTTTTAGTGTTGGCACAAAGAAAGACCAGAAAATTATACAGAACTAATTGTTTAATTCTGCTTGAACCTATTTTAATTTGTAAAGAACTCCTGATTATTTGTGGGGAAAATGTTAAAATTAGTAGCTTACCTAAATAAAAGTAAAGTATTAAGCTGCACCATAATGTCTCAAAAAAATTATCATTATAAAAAATAGGTCAGTTTGTTGGTTACTTAAAATCTAAATGCCCCCTTAAAACAAAGCTTTATAAAACTAAACAGTAAGTGTCCAGGCTTCTCTTTACTTATGTATTTATATATTTGAACAAGAATAGCTTCCTGTAATGTAATTAATAGAAATGATCTTTTTATGTCTAAATATCCAATCATTTTCAATATGTGCAAAACTCTTTTCAGCAAACAGGTTATCTTGCTGTTGCTAATGACACTTGAGCTTCTGATACCCAGGTGCTGCCAACCAGGTGCCTGGTATAGTTATTGCCATATTAAAACAAATAAATAATCTACCAAACATAATTCTTTACTTTCCGTGATATAATCCACATTGCACAAACTGTTATTGTGGCTTTCAGTCATTGTAGGGGTTTGTTTTGGTGGGCAGTCACGTGACGTCACAGGTGTCCATCACTGATTGGCTGATCAGTTAAATCCCAGCAACATTTGGGCGGAGTCATTCTCTGCGTGGCAGCTGCTCCGTAGAAAGCAGAATAAGCTGGGAGCTGGACACACTCATTCATCCCCACAGGCTCAGTCCGCCTTCCTGCTGCTCAGCAAATTAGATCAACACTGTGTTTAATGCAGTTCCACCGTCAGCTAGCTGCTGTATGGCTGTGCTGAAAGTACGTACCCACAATGTGAAGTCCTGTCCGGTGTGCAGTGACCGTGATCCTGCTGGGAATCAGACAACCCATCGGCAGTGAAGCGGACGTGGTGCTTATTACCAGGGTAAGACCCGGATATCACCGAAAGCTGTGCGGTGAGCCAATTTTAAAACTGAAAAATCTCACTTAAATTGTTTAATATCTTAAATGTCACAAAGTCGCTGAGTTTTATGGGAGATGTATCGACGGGGAACGAAGCAGAATCAGACAATGTTAGCTTAAGCTAGCTGCTAACTGTTGACCTTAGCCGGCTGCTGCTGTCCATGGTGCTGAAGCGGAGCTAACTATGCTAACACCGAGGATGGTGCGTCTCAACCAGGCTCATCTGCGCGTTTTTTCCCTCAGCTGGCTGAATTAAAACCGCGTCCGATTTGGACTTGAAAGAGTCTCTTATACTTGTTTTGAATTTAATCCACATTAGAGAATAAAAAAAAAACTTGAACTACAGCTTATTGCAAAAGAAAAAAAAAGTCTCGAGTCATCCCTCATTTTTTTCCTGTGTGGTTTTCAAAGTACAATTTTAAACATTATCTGTTTTTGTTGTTTTATCTTTTCCAGCCCAGTACCTGATCATTTTTAGAGGAATGTATTTTTTGGCATTAAGTCATGTAACCAAATAGGCATAAAAAGACTCCTAAACTTAAGGATGAATCGTTGTGTATGTACATTTCAGACATCTCCGCAAACAACACGTTAAAATAGGATCTGTTTGGTTATCAGCAGACACAATTTGTTTCCATTATTTAAATGACCTGTTTATAATGCTAAACACAGTTCAGCACATAAGGTTGTATTTTAGCACCAACAAGGGGATTTCTCAGGAACTATTAGCTGAAAATTTAACATAAAGTAGAATAAATGATCAGCTGAATCGCAATAAGTCTTGTGCCAGGTCTTTGATGACCCCTCCCCATTTTTAAGGACACTTTATTTTGACCTTTTAACTGCACAACTGATGGGTATTCTGCTGTCTTATACAGTTTTGATTACTACTCAACATAGAATGTACTTTTGCCATACACACAAGAAATGGCGTTCACTAACCGGAAGTACGTCACTGTGATTTCACGTATATGTTTGTTTTGCAATGGAGGGGGAATCCTTTGACTGAACACACTTCATTAGTTTATTAATGTGTGCAGGATGTTGTTGTCTGCAGTGTTAAGCAGCTTTTTCAACATTTTTCTTATTCCCTCAATTTTAAAGGCTCCAAAGCAAATTGCAGAACATATTCAGCTTTTATTGCAAGTCAGTTCAGGCCCTGAGTATCTGATTAGGTTACCCAAACAGATCACTGCATAGAAATTTTTCACTCTTTATTCTCAATGAAAAACACATTGGTGCAAGCTTTAAAGGACCTGAACTTCCTCTAGATATCATTGCATCTACTTCTTTTTGTGACAGATAAATAAATAAGAATGTTGTAATGTCACTTTAGTAAAGTACTTTCATATTTCCATCTAGCTCCATTTAACCAGTAATTGTGTGTTTGTTATGGCTCAGTGTCCTCTGAAGGATCATGTGGTGGTCCTGGCTTTTCCTGCCAGCTCTGGTGCTCCTCTCAGAGCTCTCTGTGGTCAAAGTCCAGACCGCACCATGCCAAACCTGCAGCAAACTCACCGAAAGCTTCCTTAAGGTACCACAGTCAACCAACAGCTGCTGTTTATCTACTTTGAGCTGCGCCTTTTTTTTTAACTCAAGAAACACAAAATTCCCTCTCTTTGAAAGGGTTTAGAGAGAACGGCCAACAAGAACTTTGGAGGAGGAAACACAGCATGGGAGGAAGAGAAGCTGGCCAAGTATGCACGCAGGTAAGACCAAGTGTTTCTTATATTAATCCCCAAAATGTTTTTTTTTTCAGATGATTTCTACTTATTAGCATGTTTGTGCCATGTGGCTGCTGTTTTACATCTCTAATTGTTGGCTTGTTGCTCCAGTGAGACTCGGCTCTTAGAGATAGTGGAAGCTGCTTGTGAGAAAACAGATTTTGAATGTAACCGGCTGCTGGAGCAGATCGAGGACCAAGTGGAGACATGGTGGTTCCACAGGTACAGAATGTGATAAATATGAACCATACGGTCTTAATCTTCAGTGGGTCATCCTAATTCACGTGATTATTTTACATTTCATCCTAAAATAACTCATAAATAAGATGTGCTTTTATTCTTTGTCTTAAAGGCAGCAGGAGGCACCAGACCTGTTCGACTGGCTCTGTATAGAGGAGCTGAGACTTTGTTGTCCACCTGGACACTTTGGACCGGAGTGCAAAGGTCTGAGGAAGCATTTAACCTGATGTCAGCACAGATCACAGCCTCATCTTTCATCTTTAGTATCTGAATCCAAGTGACGCCAAATGCTTGTATCCATTGCAGAGTGTCCGTCTGGACCGGGAGGTGTGTGTGGCGGTCTGGGTCGATGTGAGGGGGAGGGCACTCGCCTAGGAGACGGCGAGTGTGTCTGTGACCCGGGATACTCGGGCGATCTGTGCCAGAGCTGTGCTGACGGCTACTACAGAGAGAAGAGCTCCAACGACAGCTCCGGAGCCTGTGCAGGTGTTTCACTCACCCGCTTCAGATGTTACAGTATATCCATTAAATGGACGTTATTAGCCATTATCAGTCCCATAGAATGGCTTCAGACTGTCAGCTGGTTAGTATGAGGCATAAAACCACTGAGGTTTTTTATGCAATCTGGTTAATATGAGGCATAAAACCACATAGTTTTTTTTATGTAATCTGGTTAAAATGAGGCATAAAACCACATAGGTTTTTTTAATATAATCTGGTAAATATGAGGCATAAAACCACATAGGTTTTTTATGCAATCTGGTTAATATGAGGCATAAAACCACAAAGGTTAATTTTAGAGAAAATGACTTGGGCTACGATAAAGCAGACCGGACTCCGGCGGGAGCAGATTGTTGCATCCAACGTATATGGCACTGGTAACCCACTAGGGGGCACTGTCAGGACAGTCTGAAGCCATTTTATGGGACTGATAACCGCTAATAATATCCATTTAATGGACCGCACCACCAAAATGCAGGAAATAACAGTAATTTTTGTTTCGAGCCGGCTGTTTCACTGTCAGACAGCTGTTAGCTCTCAGCTCATGTGGGTTTGACCCTCTCCCTATATTCACCACCCTTTTTCCTCTCGTAGCTTGCTACCACTCCTGCAGGAAGTGCTCAGGGCCGCAGGACTACAAGTGCCTCGACTGCAAACCGGGCTGGATCCTTCACGACAACAAGTGCGTGGGTGAGTGTGGCTTCAGAGGTCAATTTGTTGCGTCTTAGCGATTTTGTGTCAAGTTCCGTACGGGTGCGTGTTCCTGACATCCACTCTACGTCTCCTAGACATTGACGAGTGCGGCACAGAGCTGGCTCGCTGTCCCTCCAACACGTACTGTCACAACACAGATGGATCATATGAATGCAGAGGTTTGCTCCTTTGTTAATCTATAGGGTTTGCATTTGTGGAGACGGCTTTCGAATAAAACAAAATATGGACATTTTATTTTAATGCTTCATGGAAGAAAATTGCATTTAATTTTAGTCCACTGTTTCTTGTTAATACTGAAAAAAAAACATCAAATACAAAAACGTGAACCTCATTAGCTGCAGATTATTTTATACATTCTTGCAGTTTTCTGTTTGTAGTGTAAGATTATTGGTTTTTCATATTTTTGTTTCCAGGCTGTGATCAGGCATGTGTGGGCTGTATGGGCAGTGGTCCCGCCCGCTGTAAGAAATGTGCACGTGGCTACAGACTGAAAGGAGCCAAGTGTCTTGGTACAAAACTTAATTTTTACACAGTTTAACTTCTTAGTCCCGTCATTATAGTCTTTTAAGCTGGTACCCTTTGTTTTTCACAGATATAGATGAATGTAGTGAACATGCAATAGCGTGCCCGGGACTCAACGAGGCCTGCATCAACGAGGAGGGCTCCTTCCACTGTGACTGTGCTGACGGGTTCATCAGAAGAGACAGCATTTGTGTGGAGAACAAGCCTCCTGGTATGTGACATGGCTGCACGATACAATATGATACTATTCTGTTCAATTTAATTTGATTCATTATAGTCACTTCACAACAGAAATAAAGTCAGGACACTTTAAATAACCAAGCAGAACTAGTTTTATTTCTTTGACTCCGTGACTCAGGTGTGAAACATGGACACGTAACATAACCACATGATAAAATGAAATAACTTCTAAATAAAACATGATAATTTAATACTAATTATGGAAATACAATACTCCAGAGCTGGAGGAGAGAAACGGTTAAGATATAATTTTCAGACCATGTTAAAGTTTGTCGATTAAATGTTTTTGGTTAAATTGAGCATAATAAGTTTTGTGACACAAACTTACTCGAAGTGTTTGAACAGCAGAAAGTCAAATATCAGATTTATTTATATAGCACATTAAAAACAACAAAAGCTGACCAAATCTTTTCAAAGACTTGTATCAAAAATGAAACTAATGAATACAAATAAAATACAGAAACACTATAAGAAAATGTAGATTTTTTTTCCATATATATTTCACAAAATTTATATTGAGGACTTTTTCTGAAAATATTTACTATTACAAACATTTTAATGATAATATATAAAATTTTGTGTTTTTTTTTTTAATTTGCTGAATTTTCATACAAAGGATTTTCACATCAAGCTTTTTTTAAATACATTTTTGTTTTGTGAGACGGACTGAAATCATGACTAAAATGCAGCAAATAACAGTAAATATAATCCAGGAGATGCTTATTTCAAAATGTCAGCATAGTCTCAAAAATCACTGCAGACAACAGCTGAATTTTGTTTTCTTTGATATTAACATGTAGATGAACTAAAACAGAAAATTCTCTGTGAACATGCATTTATATCCTTTTTGGTCAGATTTCTAAAGATGTGTCTTATTTCAGACATTCTGGCTGCTAAAATCAGTTTTCATCAGAAACTCAAATCTACAAAAGAGAGAAAGACCCACACGTTTAACTTGTTTCAGATGATCCTGTTAATACGTTTGCCTTAAAGACCTGAGACGAGAAAAACAAAGCAGATTTTCATTTTTTAAATTCCCCACTCCTCAGATGATCCAGAGAAAGGACTGTTCGATGAGATGACGGACGACGAGGTCCTGGTCCTGCAGCAGATGTTCTTCGGGGTTGTGATCTGCGCCCTCGCTACGCTCGCCGCCAAAGGCGACATGGTCTTCACGGCCATTTTTATCGGAGGAGTAGCTGCTATGGCTGGATACTGGCTGACAGAGAAGGGGGACTACATGCTGGACGGATTTCTGAAGGGACGTTAGGCTGTCTGCGACTACAATCTGACAAAAGCAACTTGGAATGACTGCTGGCTAAGGTGAAAAAAGACTCAACTGGGGCCAGGTCACTGCCTTTACAGTGCTGGGATTTCATGTGTTAGTAGAGTCGCTTGGAAAGAATTGATTACTGAAAAGAATTATGCAAGAAAAAGTGGGAAGTTGAAGATTATAATGATGTTATTCTTTAGGAAGAATAACGAACTGCACTGATAGAAAAGGGCTGAACCCTGCTGGGAACAAACGTGGAATAAAGACCACAACTAATAAACTAACATGCATCTGGATATCAAGAAAATGTTTTCCTCTGCACAGAAAACCTAAAAAAACAAAAACATTTTGACCATATCAGTAGGTGTTGCCATGAGATCAGAGGAGGAAAACTGGAAATCTTCCCAAACCATCCCTGCAACGATCACAGATCTGGGACAATTATTTATTTTCACAGAATGACTTTTTACCTCCTTCCAGCTGAATGTTTTTTTTTTGTAATATTGCATGCTGATAACATATAAAATGAAATGTAATGCACTGTTTTATTTATTTATTTTTAGCATGAAAGGTTTTACTTTTGCAGCCGTCAGTTTTTGATGCTTAACGAGGGAGAGGGGGGTAATCTACTGAACTCTAAACCAGCTGTAATCTGGGTGATGCCTTTCGGTTTTGAAAAGCAATATTTATGTTTGTGAGCGTTCATCATATTGTGTTGAATATCCTTGTTTCTGTGTGCGTTATTGGTCCAGATTTTCAGTTGTTCTAACAGACGGTCATATCTTATCTGTGTAAAACCATCCTCCAAAGTTTGCTTTGCAATAAACATGTACTGTTCTTTATAGGAGGTTTTGAGTGTTATTGTGTTAAGATGTGTACTGTATGCCACAGAAACGGAACCAAAGAAAAAAAAATTGCAGAAAAGTCTGATGGGAAAAACTTCCAAATTGTATTTGAAGTGCATAGAAAAATGCTTGCAGGTCTATCTTTAGTTGCTTTTACAATTTATTTTAAATGTCTTCCTTAAAATGGAAACTTAGACTCTTCCTATCTGTGGTGATGTCTGTATAGATCTTGTTTTATCACCTCTGATCTCTGGGCTTGTGCAGGACTCAGCTGTATGATGTTTTGTCATCTCCTCCCTGCTCGCGAGAGGCCTGCATCTCAGGCTGGGACTTCTTTAAGAGGCCCGGACTATTTCAGCGTTCCACTCCAGTTAATGGGGTTGAGGCGCAGCAGCTCTCGCTCCTTCAGGGCCTCCTGGGAACGTGTTAGCGCTCTGTCCCTCCAGCTCTGTTCCATTAGCTATGCATGTAGAAAAACACACACAACCGAGACAAGGAGAAATAAACCACAGATGCTCTCTTTGTGGCCGCCTGAGAGCATGGTCCAGGAAGCGTTTTCAGGACACTTTAGTGCACAGAAAGCATTAATACTGAATGCATGGTGCGTGAAGGACTGTACCCGCTTGTTCTCATCTCTGTAAGCTGTCATTGCTTTGCTGTGCTGGATCTTCTTCTCCCTGTCCCTGAACAGGGCGAGGTGGTCCACCTCTCTCAGATACTGGGATTCCTTCGCTTCACTGAGTCGCTGCAGCTTCAGCTCTGCACTCTTCTCCTCCATCTGCCTCTTTAACTGCTCCCGTATCTCCTTCCTGCAGAAACAAAATAACTTATTTTTTATTATCTTTATGTATAAAGCCTCGACAGATGAGGATATGAAGCTCAGGTTTTGTCAGTTTTACCTGTACTCTTCTCTCTCAATGGAGGTTCCATAAAAAGGTTTTCTCCACACCTGATGACACCTGTCACATCAGTCATCGCAACACATCAACGGCGTTAACCGGAACTCTTAAAGCCAAAAACAAAACCTGGTCTTTCATTGTCAGAATTTAAACTAGAAATCATCTTATGATGATATCATAAGATATATCTTTTTGCTGATTTTTCTCTGTTGTCCTACTTGCAAGTCAGCAGTTCAACTTGCATTACAATTTTGCTATTAAACATTTTCAGCTTGTTTTCAGCAACTTTCAAATTTTTTTTTTATAATTAGGCATTTAGGAAAATGCAATTTCTTAGTTTAATTGTCCAATTTAAATTGGATTCACTCCAAATGTTAAACAGTTGTAAATGGATATCCAATATTAATTTTTTTAAAGTTTAATAAAAATACATCTGTTGGTTCATGAGATATTTTGCGAACAGACAAACAGGGTTGACTCCCAACAATTCATGCTTAAGTTGTAAACAATGATCGCGCAGCACACACAGTAATTAAAGGCAAAAATTTAAATAAGAGGCTTTCACAATTTATTAAGTTCAGAATATATATTAGAAAACAGTCAGAGCTGTAACCACGTCTCATTTTAGGTCAATATCTGCAAATTAACTAAGTTATATCTATTTTTGTTTTTGTTAAGGTGGTCATAATGAATGACGGTAAGTGTAAGTTGTAGAGCCAGTGATTACTTTCTGCAAGGTTCATTAAAATTTCAGCACAAATAAATAAAAGTTGAAGATTGAGCTGTCAACCTGTGGTGTTCTCTTCTTTGCATGATCAGCGCCCTCTGGTGGTTGTGGTGGTGAACAGCAGGCGTCTCCAGGCTCACGGTGCGTTTAGGGCCCAAAGGTGGGTGCAAAGGGTTCAGTTTGGGAAAGAGCTTTAAAAAGCACGTTAATAGATCCAGTTTACATTTCATTTTTGGTGTAACAGAACAAAGCAAACATCTCCCACTCAACCAGGAAATCACCACTTACCCAGAACTGTAACTATATGATATATTTAACTGATTTTTTTCAAACAATCAATGATTTAAAAAATAACAGATACTTTTTAGCCACTTCAGTAGAAAACAGAACTGAATGTTAGTTTCTTAATTTCTTCATCATCAGTGACTTTATTTTTTTATACTGTAGTAAAGAGGAAAAAAAGAAAAAGAAATGTAAGAACTGTAAAGAGAAACTGATAGAAATTCAACGACGTGAAATGTACACCAATAACACACAAGACAACACACCTGACATCTGACCATCAGAGAATGAAAATGAACACCCAGCAACCAAACATAAACATATGTATGTACTTATACCCATATGCACATATATATACATATACACACACACATAGACATATATCCACATCCACATATACGTACAATAATTACAACCTTGCTAATATACACAAAACACACACAGCCAGACACATATACACACATACCTATATACACACATACAAAATAACAGATACTTTAAGACTTTTACTCAAGTAATATTCCTAAAGGAGACTTTTAACTTTTACCAAAGTATTTTTTTGGTAATACTTGTACTTTTACTCAAGTATCACTTTGTGGTACTTTATAGCAGTGTTTCCCAAAGTTGGGGTCGGGACCCAAAGTGGGGTCCCGAAACATCAAGGTGGGGTCCTGAAAAGATTTTCGGAATTAATTTACATTTTTGCCGTAGTTGTTACAAAGGAGTGAGGTTAGTGTATTTAAAATGGATAAATGTAGTATAAAAATATTGTTACTAAGCCCATGTTTAGTTGACGTGATACAAATGTTTATCATCCAAAAATAGTTGGGGGCACAGGTCTCTGTTACTGTTATTTCGTGGGTCAAAAGCTGAAAAGTTTGGGAACCACTGCTTTATAGTACACTACACTTACCTGATTGGTCATCCACAAACCCGAAGAATTTGTGATGATAGGAAATGTTATGGGAGGGGCCACCAGGCTCTGCCGGACAGGTGGTGGTGTGTCACGAGGAATATAAACAGGTGTGGAAGCTCGGTAGATGGGTGCTGCAGTTTTTAACACAGGCGTATAGAACATACTTATAAAATGAAAACAACTACATTTAAAATAAACCAACAGTTTTTTCTTACGTAGTCTCATCTTGTTGTTGATGTTCTTTTCTAAATTAAAGATTTGAGCTACTGAAAAGTGTGAAATATCAAAATACCATCTTAAAGCTACAGTCCACTTCAAAATAAATCAAATCTAAAAAAATCCTGTTGAGCTGCAAAGGCCATAGTTATAGATTAAACCCTGACAAGCCTGTGCTTTCACTCTGTGTTATGCAGTGGCAACAGTTGCCTTGGGAATCAGGTTACCCCCACTCCTTCCAATAAAAGCAAGCTGCTGCACTGAGTGGCCATGCATCAGTGGCCTCAAAAAGAAACATTATTAGCCTGTGACAATGGACTGAGCAGCTGCAGACAGGATGTTTCCGGATGTTAGGCTACAGTGAGACAGAAGAAGTACAGCACGACGCACTCGCAAATTATTACAACTTTTAAACCGCTTAAAACGTTTTATTGAACAAGAAGCAAAACATGACAATCAAGGAGCAACTTTTAAAATGTCACTGTAGAAATTCAAAGAAACTCTGGCTTAAAACTACAAATTCATTAAGACACTGATACAATGCGGTTAGAAAACCTCAGAGCTGAGTTTTTTTGCTAGTCAGGGGTAAACTCCTCTTCTGATTGGTCAGATTCCCAGTGATTCATGGTTCTCCCACAGCCAGGCGTGATACTTGTTTAACATATGATCTTCAGGATTCACCTGTAGCAGAAACATAAATTAAATGTCGGATTTTGCTTGAATGTAAAAAGAAAAAAATATTTGAATGGCGGTCAAATGGTCCAAAGTCACCTGTTTCCACTCGTCAACACAGAAGATCCTGTAGGAATCGTTGCCGTATTTTCCAATCCCGTGCAGCTCGATGGGGTAACGCCACTGTTTGGTTAGATATTCATCTGAACAGGAGAAAAGGGACAGAATTTTTTTTTCTGGCCACGGATGCAGGTTCATAAAGTCTGTCTAAAAACATATACACCAATTAAACCCTGCATTCCTTGATGACTTTAAAGTTTTAATCTTATGATGAAACAAAAGGGTTGTAATCTTCTTGTTCAAACCTTGAAAATAGTGATACGTGCAATCTGTTTTTACTATCGCTTGAAATGTGTTCAGGATGATTCTCAGCTACTACTACACTAAATTTGAGCTCAGTGTGTAACCGTGTCAAAGTTATAGCCATATTTGTGTTGGCTAATGTCGATTCCAGGAGATTTGTTTTCATTCCATCTTCAGCGTAGACATCTTTAGTGTTGGACACAATTTTCACAATTTGTCTAAAACGATTGCTTTAATGGCAAAGTTTTAAAAGCAGTTCTTGAACGATCAGTTAGCTCTCAGAGTATAAGTTAGTGATGACTCTCAGCTACCACCACACCAAATTTGAGCTCAATGTTTGTAAAACTTACAAAGATAAAACCATTTTTGGGTCTGCTAAGGTTGATGATAATCCAAAGATTACTTTGTGAAAGTTTCATTAAAACCTGTCCAGTCGTTCACAAGATATTTGGCTAACACACATGGACACAGGGAAAACATCACCTACGATGGCATCTAAACGTGGACACACTGATCACCTGAGAAGCGGATGATGGTTTTGGCTCGCAGCTCGTACAGTCCGAGGGGCTTCATGAGTTCAGACATGGGCTTCCAGTCCGCCTCCCGGGTCACCTCTGCAGATGGGTACCGCTCAAAGAACCGCCACAGCACTGGAATGGCCATCCTACCTGGAAAAAAAGGCTTCCTGGTGATTTATGTGCAACACCCAGAGAACTAAAATATGCTTCCGTTGGATCGTACCGTTTGTCTTATTTAGAAAAATAGTGGCCACCAGGAGCTTCCAGGGGTCATGGAAAAGGGTTTCCTGTACCAGGTTGAAGGGAGACCGAGGGGGTGTCCACTTCCTCAAAGCTTTCCGTCTGGGTGGGCTGAGGCCTGAGGAGACACAGCTTCCATATGTCCAAAACCACAGACACGATTGCCTACAAGTACGCACACGAACTTTACCATCTCTGAGGGGTTTCCTGCTGAAATAAGGGCTTGTTTTCCTTTTGTCTTCTGAACTCTTGGACTCTAAAAAACAGACAGCACATTTTAAACCCCCAATCACAACAACGTCCAAACATTTTCTAACATGCTACATAAACTTTAACTTGTTAAAAACTCTGAAACTTAACCAAAAGAAGATGTTTAGGTTTCTTTTATTAAGGAAATTTCTCACTAAGAAGTAATGTGTCTGATCTTTGCTTAAAACTTTGGCTGATATGTGTTTCTAGGAACTCTTGTTCCAGAGCTGGGTTGCAGGGTCAGCAGCCTCTTCCCATAGTCACCTCTTCTAAGAAGATTCCCAGTCTCCAGTGTGTCCTGAGTCTTAGGGTCTCCAACCAGTCAGACGATCTGGAAAACCTCCCTAGAAAGGAGGCCAGAAGGCATCCTTACCAGATGCCCGGACCATCCCAACACCAGGGCACCTCAGTACCATTTATATACGTGGGATTCTTCACATTTCGTAGATTAAATCCTGGATTTTCAACTTTCAGAACCTCACATCTGTTCTTTTTCCTTCAAAAGGAAGATGAAACATGAACTCGTGGTGCAGGTCCCCATGTCCTCTGACCTGATGTCCCATAATACTCAGCCATGTCTCTGAGCAGAGGTGATTTGTGGCTTACACATCCAACATGATAAACGGTCAGTGTCTTTATTTAACCTTTTAACATTGCTTAGGTTCTACAAAGTGCTTTACAGATTTACTGATTGGAGTGCAACCAATTCACTACAGAGCTACAGCTGTGCCACAGCTTTCTAAATGACAGTTCTGGATGCAGCGGCAGCCTGTGTGTACTGACATTGGTGTTCTAAACGATTCCTGAGCCCCACGCAGCTTTATTTATTACACAGATCTGACCATTTTATACAGCGCTGCCTAAGGCCTTAAAGGTCAACCAATTACAATTCTGACCTTCACGCATTCCTCTACTTTTCCAGCCTCCGCACACATTCGATTTACTACAGTAGTAAGTGCTGCAGATGTCGAAAACCTCTTTAATTCAGCATTGAGAAATATTTTATTTAACTGACTGCACAAAAAGGTGAGCCATTTCAAATTGAAAAGAGTAGCTTTTAGTGGAGGATGACTATCTGCTTAACATGACACCAATAATCGGCAAGAATCTTTCAGGAAAGTCTACTGAAAAAATGAGTTGGACTCCTTGTTATGATCTCTTATTTGAGTAATGTTTCTGCCAAATCTATATTTGTCAGACTGAAACCAGACTCCAGATCTCACGCTCAGAGTATGAGCCGGGAGTGACTCTCAGCTACTACCACACCCAAGTGTTGCTTAATATCTGTAAAACTGACAGATTTAGCCATTTGTTTTCTAAGGTTGGTTAGCTGTGGCAGTTACATTAATCAGTTGTAAACATACATCCAATAATGTTTTCCTGAAAGTTTTAGTAAAATCCTTCCAGCGGTTCACAAGTTTGGTTTTTTTGCTAACAGACAAACACAGTTGAATTCAAGTAGTTAATGGCAAAATTTTAAATAAAGGTCTTGAACTATCTATGCATTAATATTATATTATATTATATTATATTATATTATATTATATTATATTATATTATATTATATTATATTATATTATATTATATTAGATTAGATTAGATTAGATTAGATTAGATTACATTAGATTACATTAGATTACATTAGATTGAACTTTATTGATCCCTTGGGAGGGGTCCCTCAGGGAAATTGCGTTTCCAGCAGCATCAGTACAGTACAGATTTAAAGGGATCCATGATTAGTTGTAACATTAGACTTTATTTGATAAACATTTATTTTTAACTGTAAAATAAAGACTATAAAAATGCTGTAGGCTGTTTGGTTTTGTAAATTTTTAAAAATATATTTTAACATGGACGGAGCCATTTTATTTACACACAAAGCATTCTGGGTAAATGATGACGTGGATAGGTCATCTGTGTGAGCGAGCTATATCCACCCTGAAGGTTAATCTTGGACAATATCTGATGATCGACTTTTTTAAATGAAACTAGAGAGCGTTGACAGAGAGGAGAAGGTAGAAATGACTCAGTCTGATCCACTGAACCAAGGTGAGTAAATGAGAAGTTCAGTTTGCTCAACTCGGTTTAGTGGAACCTCTTTGGTTAAGTAAATTCAACACTTCATTTCTTAGTGTGCAAAAGTATTTCTCCGATTATTGTTAGCAGTTTTATGGCTTTTACTTCAGTACTCTTCTTATCAGTGAAATTCCTTTTTACCAGTCATTTTCTGCTAAGGTATTTTTACTTTTACTTAGTTATTTTTTTCCAAGTACTTTATATATCCTTCTGAGTATTATGTATTTTCCAGGCACGTAGTTACACATACTACAATCAAGTAACTATGTTACCTTCAATTATGAAAATGCCGTATGTATCAAAAATAAATTTGACTTTATATCACAGCCTTTGTAAACACCTGGAAATTGGCCTCGGTCTCTTAAGAACCTCCCACCATTTCCAACACTCCCACTTCAGCATGTTTTCAAACAACGCTTCAGGGGAGGGGTGCTCGGTTGCAGACTGAGCTCCAGGGAGGAGCTTTGTGTAAAGAGGCGGAACTTTGTACCAGCAAACATTTAGGCAGCTCCACGGGGGATTCAAGGCTTTCTTAAACATGCACGAATCAGTCAAAACAACACTCTGAGTATGTTTGTGATGTGGGAACGACATAATAACATGATATAAAGCTCAAAAAAGGCAATTTAGAGAAATCATCCCAACCAATGATTTTAGTAATTTCCTCAGTTGGCTGTAGAAGCCATCTTGAATCAAGCTGACTTCAAAGGTTAATCAGCTGTTATTTCCTGAAAAAAATCAAAATTCCCCCAGTAGTTCATGAGATATTTTGGGAACAGAGACACCTTCACCTTTTGGAGGTGGGTGATAACTGTGTGTTTAGTGTTTAATGTGAGGCTTACTTGAACATAGAGGGACTTTACATATAAAGTGAAACTGTGCTGCTCCAAACTAAATGAAACAAAAACCTCTGAATCTGTCAGGCAGTGTGGATAATACTTACTATTCTGGGATTTTCTTACTGGTTTGCAGCTCCCAGCATTGCTGTCAGGTAGCAACACCTCCTCCTCCTCTTCCACCTCCTCCCTGTGACTGTCAGCATCCTCCGTCACTTCAGAATTAGACCCATTGTCACCTTGGCTGTGAATCGGTGTAACATCTGTGTCTGGCGCGTTCCCACCTTCCTTCTCGCTCTCAGTGGCAGCTTCGGCGCCCGGAGGCGGGGCTGAAGGCTGCGCGTCTGCCCGTGCTTCGCTCGGAACAGGGAAGGTGTTTTGCTGTTGACTAGAAGGAGCCAGCCTGAGCAGCTTCTCCCTCAGCAGCCCCACCTTCTGATGACGGCCCCTCTGCACATCATCCACCGAGCCAGATGCTGCAGCTTGTGAACAGCTCGCGTCGCTTTCGTCCTCGCAAGTTTCTAATACGTGTGTAGTCACATCTGGTACATTATTACAGGTGTTTAAAGCCTCCTCCTCCTCCTCAGCCCCTGCTTTTCTGGTTTCAGCATTTGTTCTTTTGTGTTTATTTGAGTCGGATTCCAGCTTTTCATCTGCCTTTTCCTGTTGTCCATCTGCCTGCTTTTTCCTTCGTCTCCTCTGCTTTCCCAGCGGTTGAAGCGTCTGTGAGCTACTAGAGAACTCCTCTTTGGGTGTGGTGAAATCAAAAAGGTTTATGTCCAAGTTCTCGTCTGCACTTTTTACTAGAAAAGCATGCAGGGATGATCTTGATCGAAACCTCTGCCCTGAGGGACTTTAAAAAAAAAAAATCAGTGAGACCTTTCTATTTTTATCCTTTGATAGTTGGTTGTGTTAGCAAAATATTGCATAATGAGCTGGACAGATTTTAATGAAACAATGGATGCACATTTACAATTGATACACTTCTGGAGTCGACCCCAATCTACATTGCTGCATCGCCAAGCACAAGAATGTCTAAAGCTCAATCAGTTTTACAGATGTTGAGGTCACATTTGCTGAAATTGGGTGTAGCAGCTGTGCGTCACACCCAACACATATTCAGAACACACTGTGCATTAGTTTTGTTCAGAAGTTTGGCATTAAGTGTTAACAAATGTGTTAGCAAAATATCTCATGGCCACTGGACAGATTTTAGTGAAACTGTCAGGAAGTGATCTGACTGTTATAACAATTATTACATTTGTGTGGAAACAGAATTGAGAGAGGGGAAAAAAACCTATTTACCTTGTTATATACACATCCAGTTTTCCTGCTGTCTTGCCTGATTTTCGCTGCCTCACTTCTCTGACCCACCCGTGAGGCACAGTGTTGCACAGTTCCACAGGACTTTGGATATCCATGTCTTTACAGGTCTCCACTCCAGCTCATTCTCTCTACGGTGTGTTTTGATTTTTTTTAGAGGTTGTTGAGTTCCGCTATGGACACAGTTTAGAGCCTTTTCAACCTAAAGTAACAGCACATTTAAATATCACAGAACAACAGCACATAATTAGAAGTCAAGCGGAATTATACTAGCTGAAATGTACGCACTGTTTTTTTTAATACTCATTCAGATACGAAGGCGTTTCATGCCAACACTGGAGCGGAACTGCGCTGCAGGAAGTGGGTCTGCTCCTTGTGTTTCACCCGTACTGGAGCAAGGCTCAGTGATGTCGACTGATTTGAAACGATCAAATTCGGCAGGATACCCGACTTCATAAGTAAATTTTAAAACGTCAGCTTGATTTTTTAACTTTAAAATAACTCTGATATATTTGCATTATATAATCAACATGCGCGAATCTCTGATTCGGCTGTTGTGATTCTCACACTCCGACAGCTGTGCGCCGCCGGGTACGCTGGCGTTTAAATGGTGCGGACCCAACATAAAGCAGCTCTGAGTCTGCGCAGTGCGAACAAATGAAGACCACCAAACAACGCGCTGCGACAACTTGTTGATTTGAACAACATATAATATATATTTGATTTCGATGAAACTAAGTAGTAAAAATGAGGGCAGTTTCGACTTGGAAGGAATCAGTTCATGACCGGTAAGAGGCAGAAAGATGAGCTACCGCTAACCCTGAGCTAACGCTAGGTGGATAGCAACGGTGGTTGCTATGTAAACTAGAGGAAGCCTGCTATGCTAACGCTTTAGCTTAGCATTTAGTTTTAAGTCGTTTGTGAATTGTATATATTTTATTACGTTAGTTGCATAGTATGTAGTGTCAGTCATGAAATCGTGTGGTTTGTCACTAGTATGTTTTTATTGCAAACACTGGTCAGAAAACGTGAACACTCGATAGCTCATGATTTCCACTGAAAAAACAAACAAACAAAACAATTATTGTCAAGCTTGTGTTGTCCGTATTTAGTGACATCTGCCCACGCTTTTGCAAAAATATTCACCTAATGTTAATAACAGCGTAATTAATGGTTATTGTTTATATTGTTTTGCTTTATTTTTCGCATTCCGTTTTCAGTTTTAATCCGAACACCTTTACATACAAACATGCATTTTTAAAATCGTCTTATTGTTACTTTTCTGCCATACTGCTGCCTTTTTTTATTTTTTTATTTTTTTCTATTTGTTCTTAACGGTAAAATAATATAAATATTTTGGCATAGCTCTAAATAATTTCACCGACATGTGTGCTAATTTTGTGAACAGACGCAAGAACTAAAAAGGGATATGTTCAAAAAACATGTTTGAAAAAGGAAAACAAACAAACAAACAAACAAAACAAAAACTATCCATATAACTAGTACAAGTTAGGCTTAGCAGAGACAGTTTAATACACAATTTTAACGACTGATCGATTGTCAGGACTTTTATTGTTGGACCAGCCAATTTATTGAGAAACTATTTCAACTCATCTTTCTTTTATTGCAGTGTTTATGACCTTGCCTTTAAGCCAGATGGCAGTCAGATTATAATAGCTTCAGGGAGTCGTGTGCTGGTAAGAACACCCTTTTATCTTTGCCAAGGAGAGCACAAAGCTGGAGAATACATCATTATTATAAATTACGCTTTCTCTTTGCAGGTCTATGATTCCGATGGAGCTATTATCCAGCCTTTAAGAGGACACAAAGACACAGTGTACTGTGTGGCTTATGCCAAAGATGGTACTGAGCTTCTTTTCAGCTTGTTTGCTCATCTCTTGTATTGTGTCTCGTTATTTTTAAAAACCTGATTACCAGCTGCTTTCTTTCCCAGGGAAAAGGTTTGCATCGGGTTCTGCTGACAAAAGTGTCATTATTTGGACCTCCAAACTAGAGGGTATTTTAAAATATACGTAAGTGTCTTTTATTCTGTGGTTCAGTCTAAAAACGTGATCCAATTTATTGTGGGTTTTTATTACAAAGCCAGTTTTAACAGACAAGAAAGAATTTTTGGAATTTTAGCCTAAAAAAACTTTTCTAAAATGCACCTGACGTCTAAATCTGTAATAATAAAATTTGAGTGGGAAAGGTGAAGCACCCACACCAGCCTCCTCCACCCTATTTTGCCCTCACTTGACCAAGGCTCTTAACCCTCCAGCTGCTCCGCGGGCACCTTGGCAGCCCTCCGCTCCATATGATGGGGAATAAGGCAGAGAATGGATTTCCCCATTAGGGATTAGCAGAAAACATTATTGTAATTCTGTTCATTTGTTTATTTTTGTTTCTATTTACTTTTATTTTGCATTAACACGATATTCCGAGTGTTCACTGGCCAATTTCATAAAAGTATTAAAAAAATGTAAATGCCAACAACACACCACTAACAAAATGACAAAAACAGACAAAGAGAGAAAGAAATGTTTGTACAATATGTAATTCAGTTTTTTGAAAGTTTCTGTAACGATCAGAATGACTCGATACAGGTTTGTGTGAAATGAGTGATCATCGAAAGTTAATTCTTTCCAGTGGGTCATGACACACTTCTTTATATCACCAACCTCCATCAAGAAGTCAGCAGAAATCTGCATGTAGAGTCTAAGACTGGAAATCCCTGTTGGGTGGATTTCAGGTTGCATTGCGTGTAAAAAAAAACCCCTGCACTTTGCATTATTAAAATGCAAGAATTCTGTATGAAGAAAGGCAAAAATCAACTCAGTGCAGAAACACCACTGAGGCTTTGAGCACATTTGGCATTTTGGGATGAAGTTACGTTTGAGCTTGATCACATTAAAATGTGATGAAAGGTTTTATTTTGAAGATAAAACCATCAAAGTAACATCTTCATGGGAAATCTGTGGCAATTATTGACGAAAACCTGCCAATATTTCTGCAAATAGGCTTTGGACATAGTGCTATGTATGTTCCTCTGCCTTTCACAGAGAATCTGTTCTTTTTTTTTAGTCACAATGACTCTATCCAGTGTGTTGCCTACAACCCAGTCACTCACCAGCTTGCCTCCTGTTCATCTGGTGATTTCGGTGAGTGTACCCCATGTTTAAATAAACACCAGCCTCTTAAAATATGCAGCATAACACAATGTCACTGCATCCTGGAGAACTTAACATTTCTTTTTGCGTTTCTTTTAAGGCCTTTGGTCTCCTGAACAAAAATCTGTAAACAAACACAAAGTCAGCAGCAAAATAACATGTTGTGGGTGAGTTGTGTCTATAGCTGCAACCTTCTGCAACTTTGTGACGCCCCGATTACTCAGTCAGTGTCTGTTTTGACCACAGGTGGACAAATGATGGGCAGTACCTCGCACTCGGCATGATGAACGGGGTGGTGAGCATACGGAACAAGAACGGAGAGGAGAAGGTCAAAATAGAGCGACCCGGAGGCTCCGCCTCTCCTATATGGTCCATAGCTTGGAACCCCTCAAAGTTAGTTACTTTCTAGCAAATTATAGAAGAGAAACACAGATGCCTTGCGAATATGAAGCTTTTACATACACTGCACTGCTGCTTAATCATTTGTACTATCAGTATCAACAAGGTTTGATGTACATGTACAGTATTTCATTGCGTTTAGGTGAAGAGTTACTGTGAGATCAGCAGGTGGCAGTAGTTGACACAAGAGTAGCTGCTATCCGTCCCTGCTCCCCCCTTACAGCCAATGCCAGGACTCACCCTGTACCTGCTACACGAGACCACCAAACTGGACATTTAAAGACAAATAAATCAAAAATACCAAAAATGCAAGAAGTTAAAGGTGGCCATGATTAGAAGCAATAGAAATGTTGTCATTGGTGTCTATAAATTGTAAACATTCCAAAGAAGAGGTCAGAGTTTGTTGTCGGTGAAAGGGAAGCTTCTTTAAAGCTGCTAGGGATTTGGTTTCAAGTGAAATAAGGTGTGTTGTGACAGTTTTGACAGGGTGTATAGGTGCACAGGCTTACCGTGTCATACAATACTCTGTCTTGACGTGCAATTAAAATTTATCAGAATGAAAACATGAAGCTTTTCATTGCCCTCCATCGCTTACAGGGGAAAAGGCTTAGATGTAAAGAAGGCTGGCCTCTCTGATTTCCACTGACATTTTTTTTTACTTAAACAGCCAAAGCCTCCCATCAGCTCAGAAGCTTGTCCTGTGCACTTAAGACTGAGGTTTTTTTTCATTTCACAGGGATGAACACAATGACATTCTGGCTGTGGCAGACTGGGGTCAAAAGCTCTCCTTCTACCAGCTTAGTGGAAAGCAGGTGAGTATAAAAAAATAATCTTTATATAAAACTGTGGGCTGAAAACCAGATTGTTCTTTCTTATTTTAAGCACCACGATAACTGTATGGTATATATTTAAAAAGCACATATCCTGAATTCCAAGTGGCATTTGAAAGATTAAATACAAACCGTCTTTAGAATCTCCACAAGAAGGTTGTTGGGTCGAATCCCGGCCAGGGACCTTTCTGGCTAGAGTTTGCATGTTCTCTCTGTACATGCATGGGTTTTCTCCGGGTACTCCGGTTTCCTCCCACAGACCAAAAACATGAATGTTAAAGTATTTGGTAACTCTAAATTGTCCCTACATGAGAGGGAATGATCGTTTATCTCTATGTGTCCCTGTGATGGACCTGTCCGCCCCTCACACAGTGACTTCCGGATATGGGCACCAATGACACCCATGACCCTAGAAAGAAGAAGAGGGTTAAGATAATAGATGGATGGAACGCTCAGTAGTTGTTTTCTGTTTGACTTTATCAGTATATTGATTCTTTTCTTTGTCAGCCATTCCTTTGTAGATTTGTTGCTATGTTTGGATCGTTGTCCTGTAGGAAAATTGCGTTCAGTAAATTGGAAGTCGGAATAAGTTTGCAGAAAACCAGCTGATGATCTTCTAAAAGATTTATTCAAAAATATGACTCCATAAGTCCCACAGCAGCCAGTAGCAGGTCTGTGAGTGAAAAGGGCCTTGGCCTTATCAGAACAGCAACACACTATCAATCCCTCTCAGGAGCCCAGTGTCTGTCCCAGGCTGATCTAAAAGAGAGACTACCTAATGAACGATGAATCAACCTCTTAAAGTAATATGTACATCTGACTTCCTGTTTACACCCCTGGAGGCGGTACCTTTTACGTTAGACATTTAAATGTAACCGACTTTGTTTTTATTACAGAGAAGCCTCATATTAATAAGACACACTGACTCTGTTTCTCGGTTTAAACTATATGACTGCACGAAATGTGAAATATAAAACTCAATCTAAAATTCAGTTAATCGGTCACAAAATTTTCTTCAGTCTGGTTGTATGACTGTGCTTGGATCAAGCTTCGGCTGTCAGACAGGTGGCCTGTCTGGTTTATAGAGAAGTTCATGGTTGATTAAATAACAACAAGGTGAATTGAAAGCTAGATAAACACCCAGGTCCTGTGTCTGCAAAACAAGCCAAGCCTGCAAACTGCCAAAAGTTCTGCTTTTATAGTGGTGCTCACACTGATGAAGATCAGTGAATCAAATACGTTTGATCAGCACCACCTGGCTGCTACTTTGCCTCCAAAATCCTATGGAAGCAGCAAGGGTGCACTTTTCTGTTTTTCTGGTTTGGCATTGTTTTTGTTTGTAATAATGACACAAGAGAATTTGTGGGTTTTTGTACACTTAAAGTCACAATATGAACATTTGTAGAGACGGCTAAGGACCAAATCACTACACTGTATGTCCTGACTTGTAAAATTTAAAGGGGCAATATCATGTGTTTCTCAGGCATACATTTAAATACTATACCAAAATAAAGTATCTATGTCACCTTTAGTTGTTATTAGAATGCTGTTTTTATGTTTAAATAGAAAATAAACTTATCTTCTCATCACTTCCTCT